AACTTACCGGCACGTTGCTTTTTCCCTGATGAATTATGTGACACATTGCGATTTGAGTGATCGCATCGATTTGTTATCACGCGAAACAAAACGTGTGAACCTACGTAGTTATCTAATTTTCAAGACCGGATTCGCCTGAAATTGTGGTATCGTGAATCTTAAAATCCTATATGCTATTTAAAGGAGCTAGGCTAAAATGAATTTGCTAAGAAACCTCGTTTTGAGGTGACTAGAAGATTTGCAACTCTGCAAGAATGGTTTGAATGATCCAGACGGTGTTAGATTTGGACAAAACTTTCTGTAAAATGCTCTCCAAAGCCTGCGTCAAGTCTGGTGGACTGCTGAACGGACGCGAAAAGAACAAAGGCTCTGACAAGTACTGTGTGCTAAAACACTGCCCTCAAAGTTATGTTCGACTTGAACCCCAAATGACTGTTTTAGAGAAGTACAATCATTTGAAAATCAATTTGGTTTTCACGAGAGACTCAACTGAACCTGCAACTGAATATGCTGCACGCAGGCCGCCTCATAATTCGTCTGGAACGATATTTTCATAAAGGAACCTCACAAGGTTGTTGGAAACCAAACTGATTTGCAAATGAGTGTATTTCTTGAAAACAGTCCATTTTGAGTTCATTTGGAACACGGGGTCGACGGAAACTCGGGAACTGCGCCTACCTGATGAGCCCCAAGAAGGGCGAAACCGGTCGTGAGCTGTCGAAGGGTTTTCAGCAACCCTGTGAGTAGTTTCCTTTACGAAAAGATGATCACCGTTTGGCAAAGAGTTTGCAGAGTCAGTCGTTTCCATAGTACACAAATGACACGAAATGCAAAGGGATTTGGCAAACTTTGAAAGTGTTCGATCTCGGTACAGACGATATGAGGAGAGAGAGAAACGTCAGGGTTAAAAACAGCATCGTGCTTACTTTTACTTACTGGAATGTATTCAACATCGTAAGTTTAAAGTTGTTTACGGCTAAATGGTTTAAAATTCACTTTCACTTTTCACTGCGGCTGCCAGAAAGAGAGAGAGAAACGTCAGGGTTAAAAACAGCGTCATGCTTACTTTTCTTCACTGGAATGTATTCAACATCGTACGTTTAAGGTTGTTTACGGCTAAATGGTTTAAAATTCACTTTTCACTGCTGTTGGCTGCCAGATTGACCACAATGCCTGCTTTTTTTGTTAAATCAGACTGAGTGTTACGGGATTGTGCTTGCAGTTAGCCGTGACCACAACCCGATCGATTTACAACCCCCTCGTTCACAGCTCAGCTGTCATCAACGATTGCTTCTTGCTGTATCTAGAGAGGACTCAACACCTCAGAGCCCAGGTTTCTCCTGATCTGTCCTCAAAAGCCCACACATGTGGCATGTTCTTCAGGGCCCAGAAGCTTGGTTAAACGGTTAACAGCAGTCCAGTAGTGTAATCAAATCAAATTACATCAAATCAATCAATCAGTCAATCAATCAATCAGTCAGTCAGTCAGTCAAATCAATCAGTTGGAGAACTCAGTCGTTTCTTGTGAAAGTTTGGATAGTTTAACAAGGGATTGCTCGCCTAACCATTGTCGTCACGACCATCCAAAATTCTGGTATTTTTAAAAGTCATGAACTATGCAGCTGTCTTTTCGGTAATTTTTTGATGAGTATTTGCGCGCTTTTGTAAACGGTAATCCCCGGCCTAAAGAGTTTTCAGCCCGATATCCTATCTCCAGTTATCATGATCGAACTTTCATAGATTTCATCGATATCAGACAGTTTTTACTAAATTTGTCACCCACATTCGTACTTGCGCCGGTGGCGTTTCTTGATGCACTTTGTGGACACAAGTTCTTCAACAGTCAGAACGCACTAAGAATCGCGATATTTAATTAATGAGCGGCTGAGCTGCACAATTTCGTTAAAATGTAACTTCAAATCGATGGGGCTATCTGATGACGTGCTCCATCCAGACATGTTATAGTGTGCCTCAATCGATCTTTCCGAAACACGGTCACGTGCACATCCTCTTCATGTCTTTCCAGCGCACGTTTGAAAGTGCAGGATATTGACCGCTGTTCAGAATCGAAATGCTGCCTCATCACTCTCTGCGTTCATGACTTTTGAGCCAAGGCGATTATCCGTGACTACCTGACTAAGCATGTTTCAGGTTGGATAGTTCCATACCCAAGTTTCTAACAGAGCGCAAGGTCGATCAGTAGTTAAGGAGGAAACTTCCTGACCGGAATATCCGTGGCTCGAACCCGACCTCTGCAATTCGACCGCTCCTGTCAAGTCATGAGTACCTCGGTGCTCGTGCTTCTTTCGAGTGGCATGAGATCTAATCACCAAAAGGCTGGTGCAGCTGAACAATATATATTTTGTACCATATAACCATGCAGCTCTTAGGATTGCGAATGGCCACGAGTTCAGATCAGACCACGTCGCCAACAATGCATTGTAGTTACCGGTAAATTATCGACGTTCTACCTCAACCTGTCAGACCAAATTCTTCAGGTGTCTGCGACATACCAGTTCGTGCGATAATCCGTGCCGATCGCAGTAATGCAACTACCGCACACATAGTGTTTTGTCCTTTGATGGATCACCTGTCGTTTGCACTTTTATTATACAGTCCGGCGAACAAGCCATTTACGAGGAATGTACTGATACTGGATAAATTCGCCCAGTGATTTCAAGAGAACTGCACGTCAGAGGATGTTGTGTCGTCTGCCGGTGGCAGATATTCACTACCCGAAGACCGTTCAGCATCATGTACTTTGGCCAAAGAGCAAAACACCCAGCACCCCCGACTACAACGCATCGACTCAAATGCATGAGATGTTTGCAAGATGGTATCACTCAGAATGAAAATTTGATTGGACACTTCACAAAGTCGTTCGCTTGTGGTGCAGGTGCCGTCCGACTCAAATGTTTTTCAACGCACGACGTTTTCAAGCGCTTAATTCTGTTGACAAATTTCTCTTTGTTATTGAGACGGTGGAAACACGTTGATAGCAGGCCTCTAAAGGTGTTTGAACTGAATGATTGAAGGCAGTCGTCAGTTGGTAGAGCTCTCTTACAACCTACTTCACATGTCTCGCTGATTCGTCTACGGCGAACTTGCTAACAGCAGGTTATAGTACGTAGATTATTTTGGAGTGTTTTGGAAAATGGCACGCTAAGATGAGAACCCTAATTCTTTATTTATCTTAGAGATACTCATTTATGAGTACAAATGGATGAGTTCCTCGCAGTTGTACCGAGTCTTAAACAACCAAAATTCGGACAGATTGTCTACTTCAAAGGTGTTTTTGGGTCTGAGAGCAATGATGCTTTCGAGGACACACGTTATCCATTGCTCAACCAGTGCCTAGACACATTGCATTGCTCCAAAATGACATTTCTCGAAGGTTATCAAGGCTGTGTCGGGTTCATTGATGCTTCGCACCGAAAATTAGGACGTGAATATATAGGTGCCCAAATAAACAAACTAAAAATCTGTGAAGACGTTCCATGGGAACAATCTAGTGAAGTGATATTCAGAGCCAAAAAACAGGTTGGGTGAATATGACTTGATAGATTTGGACCGAATTCCGTGAAAACAATCAATCATAGGCGAACCTCTCACAGCATTTCTATGGAAACTTCAAATGAGTTAATAACTTACTTCCTGGTGTGTCCCATACACATGAGGCAGAAGAAGAGTACGACAAATCTGCTTCGTAATTCCAGTTAGCTACTACCTAAATATTGTTGATAATTGCATGTGTATTGCCGAATCCATGTTGGACCGGTATAATGGGTATACACGTTTTGGAAGGTCCAACAGCCTAGATAACTCAGTCACTGGTAGTGGTCCAATCACCTGAGTAAGTTATGCATTTTGCCCAGAGGGCTTAATAGGCCACGACAAGGTCAGCGATGCTTCTGGTGACCGAATTTTGATTGGTCAAGCAGTTGTGATTTAATTTTGTCCGATCGATCGATTTGCTGGCATTTTCAAGCACACCAAAAGCGTTCGTCATGTTGATCAGCTGATAATGTCACCTCGATTGGCGATGACACGTTTGCAATCAAATTGCCCAGCTCAACGAGCAAGCCAACGACCACCATCAACGCTACTTGAGCTACCAACATTTTCCTCTATAGAAAATCAGCTGATCTGCTTCACTCAAGCGCGTCTCCATAACATCGGTCACGTGAGTGTGCGTAATCTTTTGTTGGAAATCACGTGTACACCTAAAACACGCCCACTGGATGTCTCTATTTTCGGTCGTTGGTTTATTTGCTGAGCTGGGCAGTTTGATTGTAAGCGTTTCCTAACCAATCAAGGTGAGAGAGCGGAGTGATGCGTAGTGATGAGTTGGTGGTTGTGCGTTGAGTAGTGTTGCTTGTTCTTGTTGATTTTTATTCAAAGGTGTAGTTACTACTGACTGGTTTCCCGGTGAGGACAGAAAATATTCTAGTATATCTTGTCTTTATTTACGTGAGAAAGTAGGTCAATAAGTGAACTAATTTGTGTCGCCTCATCTATCGAATTGCCCTCCGTTCATTTAATTCATCTGAGAGTTTATGAATCAGACTGGTTAGTTTTACTTGGCATGTAAGAAACATAAAATGATACTCGAATACTCAAGTCATATTCCAAAGTAGTGTCTGCGGCTACAAGGCTACACTTGTCCTACAGTTCTTAAATTTCTGTTTCCCACTTTTTGGCGGCTACCTGAGTTTTAATGGGGTCACATCAGCAAACACAGATTGTCCTCTATCGTTGCTGTGGCGTTTACAACGTGAGCTGTAACAAACCTCGAAGATATGTGGAGGGTTTTTCAACAACGGGATATCATCAAACATACAAGCTTTTTAAAAATCCATTCAGGAAACCCACTTGCGGCTGCGGCTTTATCTGGAAACAAGAATAAATGGATGTTGTCGGGCGAAGATTTTATCCGAGTGGACACCCACGTGACTAGCCATCGCTATTCTATCATGACGGCAGGTGAAGCACTTCGACAGAAACAAGTTCCAATCGCAGGATACTTTGTTCATTCTATCCCTCGATCATTTCCAAACCTAATCGGTGAAAAAGAATTGGGGTGTCAGCAAGCGCGCCAAATGAATGGAACATGACAGCTACCAAAGTGGTGATTTTTCGGTTCTGTTTATACCTGCTGTCTGGTTTCCAAACGGAGACGGGGTCAGCTAGGTGATTTTTCGGCTCTGTTTATACCTGCTATCTGGTTTCCAAACGGAGACGGTTTGGGGGTCAGCTGTTAAACACAGGCCGGCGAATTAGCATTCCAGCGAGACTAGTGATGCAGGCTATTTGCGAGACGATAAAGTAGCCATAAGACAAACTTTCCACATCAAAAAATGCTCACACACGAGAGGTAGGAATCCATATTTACCGTCACAGTTAGTAGCCTAATACGATGAATACTCTCAAGAACGATGGAGGGTGGACACATACATTGCTGCAAACCAGAAGAAATATGTGATAGAACTGTCACTGTGGAGATGTTCTAAACACGACTGCGGCTGCGGAAGACTAAAACCAGCAAAAGATATCACCAAGAAATATGTTCAGGAAGTGGAATGTCCATCGCTGTGGATCTACAGTCCGTATTGGGTCACGGACAAAATGGGAATGGATAACAAAGGATATCAAAGAAGGATCATGACTGAAAGGACCATCGCAAGAGCACGATGAGGTGTGTGTGTGTGTGGGGGGGGGGGAACCATACTGTCCGCTGCGGTATCATTGTGGTGGGAGCGGTAACATCGCCAGGTATTCCCTTCCATTGCAAGAACAAGATTATGTTAGATGAGAAACCACATAGTCAGAACTCTAAAAGTTTTTATCTCGATTGCAAAATTAACCTTTAATACGGAAGAACTTCTGTTAGATTCCAAAGACCCAAATGTGGGCGAATGCACAGAGGTTTTATTTTCGGAAACCTCAAACCAGGCAACCTTCCACAGTAGATAGACCAGGCTTTTGGGTCGTTGGTTTCAAATCAACTCCGTCAAAACACCTGTTGACACTCGTTAACGTGTCACGAAGGCTAGGACGTCGGAGGGGCGAGATGAATTGTTGAAAGTCAATCCAGGCTGCAGTGCGAATATCAGTCATATATATTATATATATA